TGTCGGAGTTTGCTGGGTTCAAGTCCCGTTGGGTGCATCCTGAGAGTCTTGGAAAGTGGCTTGCAAGCCCCCACCAGCGGTCTCTTAAAGTAGGTTGGGGTGACTCATTCACTCTGTTCGGTCCATGATGAGAACTGAACAGCAGCATTATCTATGCGTTCTGAGAACCAAGACTTAAGCCTAAGAGCAGCCCTTACTCGCCCTGCTTCGGCTCGATGCAGCTTCACTGGGGCACCGACAACCCTCCGGGCTCCATTCCACTTTCAAGCCATGTACTTTTGGGCCATCTTGCTGCTGGCTTCCCGCAGCGGTGGCAGCCTCGTAGACGTGGACGTCTCCACATGGATGCAGGCTGCGTCGCGAGAGGGGACTGTACTAGGGGCTGCTTGAGTGGTTCTGAAGTCGGCGGAAACTCACGATTCGTACTAGGTCTACTTCTACCTTGGCTTGCGGTCAGTGGCGCAAGTTATCATCATCATCATCATCATCATCATCATCATCATCATTCATTGCATTGTCAACCACAGCACCACCGTCATCATCATCATTATTATCCTCGTTGTGGTCGTCATGAAGCTCCGACATGGTACAGCCCCAAGGAACCACAAATGCACTTCTCCAAAAGCCTAGAATAGGGGCCTTAATAATTACCTAGATTATTTTGAGGGTTCCTTATTGTAGTTATAGTAGAATATTCCCCAAACCCCTGTTCTAATTATTACAGCCCCTACATGAGGGGGTTGAGGGTTGGACGGATTCCAGAGTAAAGGCCCCGGCGGCGCAGCACGCAGGAAGGCTTAGAAGTTCATGGCAGGGTCCCTGAATTTAGAGTTTAGGGTTTAGGGGTTCAGGGTTTAGGGTTTGGGGTTCTGGGTTGAGGGTTTAGGGGTTTAGGGTTTAGGGTTTAATGACTAGTGAATTACCGAAGGAGTTAACTAGCGCTACAGTGCAGGCAGGTATTTCTTTCGCATGCAAGATACACCTACCAGATGGGTACTATACTTGTAGTGCCAAACACCTACCAAAAATGTTGGTACTTAGAATCTGCTGGCTCTTATCGTCTGTGAGATTGGTGACCTAAACCCTAAACCCTAAACGACCTGATGGACCTCAGACGCTTCGCTCGAGCATCGCCTGCATGCCTAGGGGGCTGGGGCCGGGGTATTTAGCGTTTGGGGCTTCGGGGTTAAGGGGCTGGCGTCTGGAGAATTTAGAGTTTAGGGTTCAGGGTACATGCATCTTTTTGATCTGGACTCAAACTCCAAAGCCGAAAGGCCCCAAACTCATAGTCCCGGAGACCTGAAAGTGAATCGGCTTAGGGCTTTGACAGGAGGACTCCGATGATGGCCTGGCCTTGCTCCAGGCGGGATAAAGCCTTCACCTATTGGTTTGGGCATGAAGGGTCCCACTGGCTTGTGCTATGGCATTCAGCTTGGCCTGCCTGTAGAGGATGACGGGAGAACGCAACACGGTCTTGTAGACATGCACGGTGAAGCGAGCATCAGTGCGGAGCACACTACAAAATGTAGGCTCCATGCCCCCCGTGGTCTAGTAAACGTATGCCGTCTCCCAGTCCTACAATGTCTGTCCCCAATAAACTCGCTACTACAAGTTCGGCCGTTATGCCTATTTAGTAGTGGTACACGGCGATTCGTGCTAGTAATTCCGTTGACACAAGACACTAGTAGAATTGTGCTATGTTGTCGTTGATGATGTTGCTGTTGTTGATGTTGTTGGTTGATGTTAATGTTATTGTTGTCTTTCTTGTTCTTGGTATTGTTCCTGTTCTTGTTCTTGTTATTGTTCGTGTTCTCCTTCTTGGTGGTGGTGGTGGTGGTGGTGGTGGTGGTGGTGGTGGTGCAGCTACTGTTGTCGCTGCTTTTCTGCTGCTGTGGCGATTGCTGTTACCAGTGTTTCATGTGATTGCAGCTCTCGTCATTCTCGATCTTATTTGGGAAGTATGTCTTGTGTGTTTGAGTTCTGGTCTATTGTCACTCTTCCTCCTCTCAATTCCTCTCGTGTGCTGCTTGCACAATTACTCGCCCAGGCTCCCCAAACAAAGCCAAGTTGGGGTTTAGGGCCCGGTTTACGGTTTCGGTTTCAGGGATCAAAATGTAGCTGTTTCAGGTTCAAGGTTTCAGGGTTTATGGTGGCAGGTGAAGGCAGCGCAGCGCCAAGCAATGTCGTCAGGGGAATCACAGGCCATATCGGCAGGCCTATCTGAAGAGGAGCCGCATGCTTGCGATCCGTCCTGAATCCGGGAATTACCAGGGCTGTTGCGATGTGATTTTGGGTTTGACAGTTGCTTCAGGTCACAGACAGATAGTTGCGAACCTGGGCGGGCGTACAGGGCGAGCGCCATTGACATGTTTCTGACACCGTCCCGAAAACCTGCCCCAGTCTTTACGTTGCGACTCAAGCTGAGCCCCAACCAGCAGGTTGTTCTCCTGAAGTCTACTCTCAGCCTAAGCCCCAAAAAGTTGGAAACCGGATTAAGGACAATTAGTGCTGGGATTCCCTATACTCTGCTCTTGAGGATTTAGGCTATTGGGTTTCCAACTTTTGGGCTTTACACTGTAAGCCCTAGGAATGTATTTCGACTCTCCAGACTCAAGACCCGTGATATAGGGGCTTGAATAAATTACCAAAGCTTTTCTGGGGGTTCCTTCTTATAGTTATAGTATGATATACCCCCAAACCCTATTCTAGTTCTTAAGGCACCCACAGTATGTCATACCAAGTGCAAGGTTTGCTCATTGGAGATTGCAAGGACGGTCCGGTCCGGTCGGCACCGTGGAAGTTGGGTTAATGATCCCTAAATCCTAAACCCTAAACCGATTTAGCCGAAAATCCTAAACCCTAAATCCTAAATCCTAAACCCTAAATCCTAAACCCTAAAACCCTAAACCCTAAACCCTAGCTGCACAGAACAAGTCGCAGTCGTAGCGACCCTCCTCCTTCGCCTCTGCCGAGCCTTTCGATATCTAGAGCCGCACATCTCATCCCGGAAAACCGTCAAAACAGCGGACTATTTCACTCCTGTAAGGTTTTTTTGATCAGATCATAGTATTATGCAATCCTTGATTAGTCAGATCAGAATATTGTGATACCTTGAGTCTTCACAACTAGACGCCAGGATCTCGAGAATGCCGACTGGCACAGCGCTGGTTGGGGTAACTTGGCCCATTTGTAACGAGGACTTCTGCATGGTCACGTCGGAATATGTTTCGAGTAATATGCCCTTGTAACCACTCTGTAATTCAAGCATAAAGTATACCCCGAAAGGCCCTCAAAGCGTATGTGTGTTATGCCACGTTATGTTATGTAGGTGAGCGTGTAGGTGTGTAGGCTAATGTGTAGGTATGTAAACATGTAGGTATGTTTTTCTGTGCGTATGTATATATGTCTGTGTGTGATGTAATGCTAGGCAGGTAGGCTAGCAGGCAGGCAGGCAGGCAGGTCGGGCAGGTAGGCATGTGTGAGTGTAGTGCACTGTCCTGTACGGCAATGCAACGTAACGTAAGAGAATGTGATGTAGTTGTGTACGCAGATATGTACGCATGCATGCATGCAGGCGTGTGGCCGTTCACGTGCCTGTGTGCGGGTGCGTTCTTGTGCATGTGCATCTCTGTACTCTGTCTATCCTTCTATATAGCTACCTACCTACCCATACACATCTATCTGTCTATGTATACCTATCTATGTCTATATGCATGTGTACATGTATGTATATATATATATATATATACATCTCTCTCTCTCTCTCTGTCTATGCATATGCATATCCGTCTGTCTGTCCGTTTATCTATCTGTCTATCGGTCTGCCGATCTATCTATCTGTCTATGACTGTTTATCTATTACTATTGTCATCCTCCTATCTAGCTATACCTGGGCAGGATGAAACTTAAATAAAGCGGGACCCAGTCCGGTTTGCACGCGCCAAACGCGGAGCGTGCGTATCAAAGTTGTGGGTGTGGGATCTTGGAGTGGAAACATGGGAAGGGGGGAGGAGGCGGAGGGTGTTTTGGTATGTGAGCTTCTCTTCGGAGATTCCGCCTGCCGCACGGAGACAAACGGGAAAGACTACGAAGAAGATTGAATGTTGGACCGTCTCGCTTCGTTGCGACTGCAACTTTTGTATAAGCCGGCAGCAAGCCTTATACGCTTTGAGAACCAACTTTGGAAATCACCAACATGTCGTTGCATTATATATATATATATATGCATACGTATAGAAAGAGAGAGATAGGCAGAGACAGATGCGGTGTCTGTGTGCAGCAGCCATATCATAGAACATGCAGAACCTCTAGCGAAAGATCGTGAATTTACATGCGCATGGTACAAAATGACTCAACCTCATAATCTATGCTTCGATACGAGCCCGTGAACCCAATTTGAATATTGCCGACAATGCAATCCGACAAGCAATCTAATGTAGTGTGCTCCGTAAGATGGCAAATGCCTGTGTGTGTGTGTGTGTGTGTGTGTGTCTGTGTGTATATCCGTCATACATACATACATACATACATACATACATACATATATATATATATATTCGAGAGAGACAGAGAGCAAGAGAGAGCGAGAGCGAGAGCGAGCAACCATGTCTTTCTTCTAGCCCCCAAAGGCCCTTACACAGGGGCGCGCCTAGCGGCGCGGGGAGCCTTACCAGCTCCTCGAACCCCGGAGAACAGAACAGAACAGCGAGCGAGAGAGAGAGAGAGAGAGCAACAGAGAGAGAGAGAGAGAGAGAGAGACATGCGTACACATCATCACAGACTAGAGCCATCCCAAAGGAATGTGCAAGTTCGTGTCAGCCCAATACGCTGTGCTTAGGGTACCTTGACAAAATGCTTTGTGGCTCAAGGCGTTGCGCAGCCTATAAGACTGGAGATACGGGCCCGTTATTATGGTGAGTCTCACAAGTCGAGCGTTAAAGCTGGCAGCTTCAGATATGTGATCGACATGTAGACCTCCTTCAGTCCAACCCCACGCCAAGGTCTTCCTCATCACGGAGGCTTTGGCCGTCCTGGCTTTCACCCTGGCTTTGGCTGGGGCCGCCCTGGCTGGGGCCGGCCTAACCGCTGGGGCAGGCCTAACCGATGGGGTCGGGGCTGGGGCAGGCCTCGCGGGCGCTGGGGTCGGCCTGGCCGTGGTTGGGGGCGCGGCGGTCGTCGCTGGCGCTGAATGCATCGCCAATGGAGCCCGGATGGGTGGCCGAAGCCCGTGCTGAAGGAGCTTCAGTGAAGTGGAGCTCGTTGTAGCTAGGCAGAGATTTTGGAGCGTAGGGCGGTGTGTACCTACGGTGCCTGTGCATGTACAACTTCACGACGTGACCAGCAGCCGTCACTAGCCATTTAAAGGGCTTCGCAAATGCTTGAGACTTCTGCCTCTATGGTGATTCCAAGAGCAGCTGGCACAAGTCTATTGCTGCAAAGCGATGTGGGGATCTATATGCCCTGACATGCAAAATCATGGACTTCGGCGGAAGCTGTTGGGATGCCTTCTAGTGTCCGTAGACCTACAGCATCGAGGCTTTTGCACATGCTTGTCTCTTCTCAGTTGGTTCTGTAACCTCCTATACTCCGACAGGTGGTGCCCGACCGCAGGACTGCCGCTGTTTCCTCGATGGTTTGGGGTTTGCAGGCTAGGTAGTAGAAAGGCAGTGTTGAGTGATGTGGAACCGGCCTTAGTCCCCCCAAAACTGGGAAAGACATCGGGCTGCTGAGTGGGCTTGACAGCTTAAGGGCTTTAGGATGTAGCTGTTCCTCAACGCTCAGGGTATGGACTTCGAGCTTCATGTTGGCTGTTAGATTGTAAGCTGTCAGGTTTAGGCTTTTGGATATCTGCGAGGTTCGCACCGGGGAGGCTGAAGGTTGGAGTGGGCTAAGGTGATTTTCTGAGTGGTGTCTCATGAACCTCTGGTTTCTTGACTGAATTAACCCTAAACCCTAATCCCTAAACCCTAATTATGAATTGAGTCTCTGTTTGCTTTTGGAGTTCCGGATTCATAGTTGATATTGGAGCTTGCGAAAACGGAGTCGGGTCTTGGAGCAGAGATAGATAAGTAAGTGGTGTAGTCGCAAAAGAGAGGGGGGGGGCCCTATGAAGCCCCAAGCTGTACGTCTCGTTGGGGGATCGTGCTGCATGACTAAACGAACACCCTCGAGCAGACAACGGTGCCGTGCCTTGTGCCTTAATAGTTAGAATAGGGTTCTGCAGCCCATTATGCTTCGATTATACTGAGGAACCAACTGTATAGGCAGCCATTTAAGCCCCTACATTACCTTCAGAGTAGGTAGGATTGCTTTTGCTTCCTTAGGACTGGAGTTGTGGGGTTGAGAGAAAAGCGGAGATTTGTCCTTGAATCATACGGACCCTTAAGGGGATTAGGAGGAGGGGCATAGGCGGCCCTGTTTAAGGAAGTGCAGTCCCCTACCCCCCTCCCCCTTACCCCCCGACGGGTCCCTATGACGGAGAGGTTTGCTGGCATCGAGGCGTGGCCCTAACTGATCTTCTGCCTTCCACGTGAAGCCAACCTCTCCTGTTTTCGCCCACGCGTGGCTTTTTTCGGCATGTGGGCATGGGATGGGCATATCGCTTCTGACCCAAACTTAACTCGGACACCCGACGCATTGTGTTCTCCGAATTGAGGCCTTGTTTGGTAGGTGTACCGTACTGAAGTGGGCAGTAACGCGGAAATACCCGGCTACTCAACCCAACACATGGCCTGGCTGGTTTCGGAGCATTTCGAGCAGCTTGCCAAGCCTTGGCTGGAAGGCAACATCTTAAAGCACCGCCTTGGCCCCCAAAACCCGATCAAAGTCTCGAAATAGACCAGATCGAATCCCTCGGTAGCCTTTGCTTTCAAGGAGTTGTCCCCGGCCTCTCTGCAAGAGGACTGGCCATCCCACCAGTGCAGGATTGAGGTTAGCAGCCTTGCTGCCGCTGCTGCTACTCGCACGGCCAATAACTTTCGACGAGTACGCGTACTGGTACCTGCACACGTACTCGTTCTGATACCTACCATGCAAGTGCTGGTACTCGTACTTGTACTAGCACTAGGGCGGTGCCTGGTGCTGGTGGTGGTGCTGGTGCTAGTGCTACTGCCGCTACCACTGCTACTCCTACTCCTACTCCTCCTCCTCCTCCTCCTCGTCCTCCTCCTCCTCCTCCTCCTCCCTCCTCCTCCTCCTCCTACCACCACTACCACTGCCACTAGCACGTTTTCCAGTACGCTTATTAATTGGTTTCGCAGCATGGCTCCTAGAACCTTAGCCCTAAGTCTAACATGACATACCCAGATCGATGCTCCAAGTGTTTGATTGAAAAGACCCCCCGGTCGCTTCCGTCCTGCTGCATGCGGCTCGAATCATCTTTGAGTTGGCGAAGATTCAGTTCTTGGCTCAGGCTTCAGCGGCGCATCGGGGAGTCCCGTAAAGCTGCTAGGAGCCATGGGCTAATCACTACGGATCCGAACCTAAGACATTTCAGACCGAAAAGGGTGGCACCAAGACAAAGGCAGAATTCCAACACTCTTGCACTCTAACCCGATGTTTTGTCGTTGACGACCCAAAAAGCCCAAAACCCTAAACAATGTCCCTACAAACCTGAACCCGTCGAACCTGACCCTGGCCGGAATCCTTGAACCCAAAAATCCCCGATCTCCTGGGCAGCTGCCAGGAGCCAGCACTGCAGAACTTCTCCCTTTCCGCCGAGTTCTGGCGGTACTGCTGGCTGAAGCATTACCCATAGGCCCCCAGGAACCTGCCATATAGGGCCCTGGGGGCTCTAGTACCCCACATAGTAGGCACCGGGAGGGTTAGGGTTTAATAACTGGCTTGCGAACCACAGCCAACAAGACAACACGCTCGCAACAACCGACCATCCATGTCTCGCGGACACAACCGCGCAAACGCCGCTACTACACCGCCAACGTGCTCTAGCGAACAGCAATGTAGCCACTTTCTAGTAGCAGCAGTCGCAGTAACAGTAGTAGGTGTTGGAGAAGGGTCGGATCATTTCTGTCACGCTGTACAGTCGCTTTCCACGTTTGTCAACGTTCTCCACACGTGTCTTTCATCTTTCCCAGGATCATCCTAGGCAGTGGAAAAGCCACAACCCGCACGACCCCCTTCCCAGCTCCACTCCTCTGCCTCCGCCCTCCAATATGTTCAGCAGCTGCACCCCTTGATGAGGGGGGGCGGGGAGTTTTGTCTTGTTGGCTTTTGTTTGGAACTCCTGTAGTCGATAGGCTGTTCACACATGATCCGCTGTCCGCTCTCTCCTCAAATCCAAGCCTTTAGCTTGCCAGCGAATGTCATGTTAGTGTCAGTAGCAGTAGTGGCTACCTCTGTCGTCATCGTCGTAGTAGCAGGAAAGAGGAAGCAGCATGCAGCTGTGAAGAAATAACAAACAGTATGCCGGACAGATTACCGAGTAGTCGTCTCAGCAAGCGTCCCCAACAAAGCAGCAGTCGAGATAGACAGCGGACTACGATGGCAAGAGCAATAGGAAAAGAAGATGCAGCGGTTCGCAGCGAATGCGATGATGATAATGACGAGGTGGAGGAGGAGGAGGAGGGGAATCTCATACTTCTTGCAGTTGCCTTCGTCAGTGGGCAATCTCACAGTTGATTGCGAGACAGGGAGAAGCCGAAACCAGCCCCAGGGCCGATACGAATGAGCGAGCAATCTCATGCTGCTCATTATTCGTAATACTTTTGTTATCATCGATAATGTTGTTGTATTTAATATATAAACTCGTACAATCGCTTTTGCTACGATTGTTTCCAAAGCTGTTAGAAGTTGCTTCTCAATTAATCAGGCACATGGCCTTCACTTTCCACACCTCGTCGGTCGTCATTACCCCCACCTCCATCATGACACACTCGTCATCGCAGTATGATCCTCATCACATAATCACCCTCATTCTTACCAGCATTGCCATGAGAACAACCTTAGCTGTTGCTATCGTGGTTTGTAGCTTTCCGCACCAAAAGGCATGGTACAGTGTGACACAGATACACAGCATGAGGCTTCTTCGAGTCAGACATGGGTTGAATCTGAGCTCCTCGGGTACCTTCTCTGGTGCTACTTTGGACTTGGCGTCTCGGAGCAGATGCCCATGTGCTCAAGCTTATCCAGCTTCCAACATTTGCAACATGCGCACTTGCATGAAAATGTGTCTACACATTTGACTCCAGACGGTCATTCTCTACTCCTCTGTTCCCAGGCACCCAGCTGTTTGGAGAATTCATCGTGACGAGTGTTGACAGACCTGCGGAAAGAAGATGAGGTCCAAAACTCTAAGTCAGTGTACACGGCTCTGAAGGCTGGACAGTCTCTGAGCCCACTGTGAACTTCCAAATCCACATCAAAGGAATCTCGAGCTTAGATGAGAGACCGGTGGTCTGCATCTCTGTCTCGGCCGTGGCAATGGTGCTGCTGGGCCTGTCTCGAGCGTCAAAGGCAAGGTACCTCTCGAGCCATCGAGTCAAGGGGGAGTGGTGGCCGTGGCAGTGGCTACTCCTCCTACTACTCCTACTAC